AGCAGCACCAGCCTATGGAACACAGCTGGGGGTCACCATGCTTTGCACAAGCAAAGAGGCTGTATGGGTTGAAGCCGACTTGTGCTGGCACTGCTGGAAATTGAAACATCTTCTCAACTGGAGATTTGTGGTCTTACATCATCATACAAAGTTCAGGCTTACTGATGTGCCATCTCCTGAATGAACTCCCCATTATCTCCCTTCTTCCTGTTCTTTCCAGGCTGCCTATGGAAACACAAGTCTTAGTATTCACTCATCATTCTGTGGAAATAATTGGAAAGAAAATACAAAACAGCAGAAAGTCAGGCAATTGCACATTCTTTACATTTCCTGAACTTTTTCTTCTGCTGTATCAAGCTAAACCTGAGCTTCACAGGCTGCTGAGCATCTTGGCCAGGCTTTGCAGGTTAAACTAAATTCTCCATCTAAGCTAGATGGGCTCTCAGTTGTCTACCATGACCATCTCTGACACATTCCTGTCCCCTACATTAACATATTCAAGAAAGATGCAAACTGCACTTCCATGCAGCAATGATTCTTCTCTTCTACTCTCTTTGTGGAAAAACTACTCACTAAGACAGCCTTGGGATCAGCAACATCAAATCGGAAACAGGCTGCTACAGCAAATAGCAATGATCAGCCTCAAACCTGATTAAATTAATGGTTGCTCAGCATTCACCCCCCAAACAAATCTGTTTTGTTTTCATGAATACACATACCTGTGTATATATGTCTGTGCTTATGTTTGCAATATAGGTGCAAATCTTAAGTACCTATTTTCCACTTATTCAAGATTGAACAACAACAACAACAAAGCAGACCTCTATTTGCTCCCCCCCAGAAATAACTGTGCTTGGTTGTGTGTGCCCATAGGAGAAGCGAATGCACTAGGACTGAAATAGTCAGAATATTTCTACCTATATTTCTCTCATTGGAAACTGTGTCCATTCATTGAGGTTCCTTACGTCAGTAACCAGACACTTTATTTCTGTGGAATGGGAAAGGTTAAAAGTGTTAATAGAGAAGGGACTTGTATCTGATGAGCATTACAAGCAGACTACTCATCCTTGGTTTATGTCACTTAGAGCATTTCTGAAGTGTTAGCTGAAGGTGTTAGGTTCAAACCAGAAGAGAGACAGCAAACATGAGCACCTTTGCATAGGACATCACAGTAGGACCATACATTGATCACATTTTAAGGACTACTTCTGCAAAAGCATGCACATTTATCTTCACCTCATTTTAGCTTTGCACTGTAGTAAGAGAACATTCACGCTGATCTTTTGTATTTATGATGTTTCATCATAAGTTTAAGAAATGCATAGCTTCACTGAGAAGTGCAATCAATGACTTGAATTGATTTATACCAGGTAAGGATCCAACTGCAATCAACTCAGTAAGCTTTTCCAATTAATAGTAGGAGAGCTATGAATCAATCTATTCAAAACAGTACAAAAAATTCCAAAGATGGTCCACAGTACCACTGAAATGAAATTTTTATTGCCTGAAGAGTCTGTTTTCCTTGATACAGCCACAGATGCACGGTGCAGTGACTGATAAACACAATGGAGAAGCTGTGGATGCCCTCTCCCTGGAGGTGCTCGAGGTCAGGTTAGATGGTAAATCCCTATGGGCAGGGACTGGAACTGGTTGGGCTCTAAGTTTCCTTCCAACCCAAGTCATTCCATGAGTCTATAACTAAACACGTTTGACTCACAGCCAAAACCAGAAGTCTCTCTAAAAAGGCCACTGAAAGAAAACTTACAGCCTAAACACTGTGCTTATTGTTTTTACCAATCAGTTTGTCTCAGCCATTTCCATCCCATAGGTGTCTTCTGCAGACACCACAGTCTGCATCCTACTTCACTTCTCCATAGAAGAGTACCTATTCACAAGGAACAGTGCACTGTCGATATATATCTAGTGGGAAGCATAAAGAAAGCATTACACTGCATCCCAATGGGAGTGCATCTGTTGAAAGAAAGAGGAGCTGGCAGGGAAGAGCTGGGAATCCATGGTAAGACCTCTTCAGAGCTTCCATGCTCACTGGGTATATCCCACCTGACAAGCAGCCTCCTATCAGAAGTGGCCAGACAACACGAGTTTGCTCTGCAGGGCCATCCTGTTGTCTCAGCATTCCCTAGTCTCAGCACAGTATCAGCACCACCTCCAATGTGAGAATTTGGGTGCTGCATTTCCAGTGCTCTCTTGTGATGAGCAGGAATGTTCCAAAGAATACAAAGTTCTGTTAAAATCACTCCCATCAGAGCACTGAGCTGTTTCTACAACCAACTAGTAAGACAATGAAATAAGTTCTCTTCCCTTATTTACTTTTTTGCCTTGTGCCCAGCCTTCATATCATAGCTTTTCCCTGATCCATTCTTCCTTGCCAAATTCCGCATCTTTCATCAGTCTCTAGCCCATCCTTTAAGCCGTGCCACACAATAAACAGTTTCCCAGCCAATCTACACCAGTCTCAACGCTATTAGTATCAAAATTTGCAATAATAAATCAGCAGCTCCCAGGACTGCTCCATTTACAAAGCCTTCCCTCTCCCGTGTGCATCTCATTTACTGGCATTGATGATGCATGCGCTCATGCTCTGAATGTGAAAGCCCTCCCGGCGGCACCGCACTCCCCAGCTGACGTGCTGACCGAGGCGAAAGGTCGGGCATGCTGCTCTCCAGTAATCCAGTCCACACCACTTTGCACCTTCCATTGGGCGGCACAGACACCCAGCCAGCACCGTGCAAGCACCTCCTCCTCCGAGCCCGCCTGCCTTCCCCGCAGGGCCAGCGAAGGGCACTGGGTTCATGTTGTGCTGTGGGAGCAGCCACATCAGAATGAGCTCCTTCAGCCCTGCAGCCAGCACAGAACGGGAGTGATGCAGCCACCAATGGAGACAAATAATGGAATCACACAAAACTCATGTGCTAGCTCTAGCTTTATGAACTCCAGTCATTCTGGCACACGGAGATCCATGCCAGCCTCATTGCTGCCAGCAGGTAACAACACAACGGCTACTTTGTAGTAAACCACTCTCAGCATGGAAAAAGCTCTGCTAAGCAGCCCCAACCACAACAAGGGGATTGTGTCCCTCCTGCAACCAGAGCACAGCCATTTCACCTTCAGAAAAGCTCCCAGCCCCTCTCTAAACTTTGTCACCCAGCAGCGGCACAGGCGGGCGGCTCTGCGCCCTTCCTGTTCTGCTTTCCTGAAGCAACGGCTGCAGGCTCGCCGACACCAGCCTCTTTAACCTGCAGCACCTGGCTTGCCCCGTAAAACTCGGTGGAAGGATTTTTCCTAATGAATACACAGTAGAAGCCTGTTCATATTGCAAGACCCTGGAAATTATGATAAATGAGCTCGACGAGGCACACGCTGCTACTCAATACCAGGCAAGCAGCACTGGCTGCACTCTGAGACAGCATTCCATAACAAAAAGAAATGCATTCATTTCAACTCCAGAGAAGATTTTTTTCTGTTGGCTTTAAGATTCTCCATCCAGCACCCTGGAATAACCAATGCCACAGTATCAAAAAGGAACAGTGACTTGCGGGCTCTCTTTCTGCCCCATAGCAAAGCACAGAGGGCATTCTCAGCCATTTATGTTTGTACCTCAGCCTTCTTCTAAGCAGCTAGGGCTGGGAGAGGGGAAACGCTAATACCTCCTCATGGGTAATCCAAACAGGAGTGTAAATACAACAGACTCAGTTGTCGTGGCCAAAGCTGGGAATGCTACAGTGACGAGCACGCAACAATACATTTCTTTTGGCTATGTATGAGTTGTTTTAACTACAGCAGAGAAGAACAGCATGCTGATTAGGATACGGAAAGATGCTCCTTTCCTACTTCACAATCTATCCTGGAAAAAAAAAAAAAAAAAAAAAAAAAAAAAAAAAAAAACAACACAAAACCAAGCAGCTGCACATCACAGGGTGAAAAACCAAAGCAATGCTCCTGTGGACAGCTCTGGGCACTGATGAGACACAGACCCCAAAGTAGAGGTGCCCAGGGAGCATTTCATTGAATCATTAAGGTCGGAAAAGACCGCTAAGATCATGTAGTCCAACCAACAACTCATTTCTGGGCACCACAGCCACCCACCAGCTATAAGGCACTGGTTAAATCTGGGCTTCCTATACTGAGAAGGCAAATGAGTGCTCCCTTATTCAAGACAGGCAGCTACCACCACTCTCACAAGCATCTTTGCAAGTTAAATAGTCAAAACACGGTTGCAAAGGGAAAGCAAATATTCTAGCAAGCAAATAAAAGAGCTTAAAAAAAAAAGAAAAGAAAGAAAGAAAGAAAAGAAAGGAGAGGGAGAATAAGGGGAATGCAATTTTTACCATTTTCTTCCTCCACCCATACATACTGGCCCCTCTCGTTCAAAAAATGTCCCTGCTGAACACAGCCCTGCAGACAGCCAGCAAACACCAAACACCCCAGACAGGCACCAACCTGGGCTGTGTGTTTCCCTTTGCCTGCAGGGACAGGGCTGCACACCCCTGCCCACCCCACAGCCAGGCACACGCAGCCCCTGACGCACCCCGGTTCAGCATCATCCCAACCACAGCCCTGTCCTCCTGCTGCCATCCAGGAACGCGGCGGCTTCTCCACGCACCCCTCCAGCAATGCAATAGGAACATCCATTCTCTGAGGGGTATAGGCATGGAGCAGCAAGGGAAACTCGGGGATTTCTACGGGTAACAGCAGCAAAGCCACATATTCCTTCCATAGGGAAGGAAGAGCAGGCACAAAACCTACCAGGGCTCTTCCATCTCCTTGCAGCCGTCCATCCCCTTCATCCCCAGCACGCAACCCTCGTTACCTGCAGGACGCAGCCTCCCTCCCCCGAGGACCACCACCCTCCATAGGAACCAATGGGATCCGATGGCAGCGGGCAGCCCTCAGCCCGGCGCGGGTTGGATGCAGGGCCGGCACCGATCCGTGAGGCACCCGGTGGATGGAGGGCGCTCGGATGGAGGGTGCTCCGTTACCTTTAGTCACCTCCGGTTGCCGAGATGCCAATCCCCATCGGTTCCTCAACAACCTGCAGCGGGGAGCTGCTGCTGCTGCTGCCACAATCCAGTCATGAAAAGCAGAGCTGGCCACGGTACCAGGAGGCACACGAGGAGCAGGGATCGTCGCCCAATGAAAGAAAAATGTTAAAAATAAAAATAAAATTAAAAAAAAAAATTCAAAGGGGGGTATGAGGGGAAAGGAAGAAGAAAAAGTCTCTCCTCCGCTGCCTTCTCCTCCCGCAGCTCACACTGGATCCCGGAGGGTGTGTGGGGATGGGGAGGCGGTCTTTCCCCCTCTTCCCGCCGCCAGCCCCCGGCCGCAGCCCCGCGGCTCTACCTCCTCCAGGTGGGCAGCCTCAGGGCCGGGGGGTGGCCGCGGAGCCCGCACCTCCGCCCGGGCGATCCGAATGCGGCACGGTCATCGCCCGCCTTGCTGCTGCTGCTGCTGCTGCCGCCGCCGGGGACGAGGAGCCGCTGCCGAAGAGACCACCAAAAAAAAGAAGGGGAAAAAAAAAAAAAAAAAGAAAAAAAAAAAGAGCAATCTTCCACCATCCCCCTTTTCTCTTCCTCCTCCAGCAGCACCAGCCGCTCTCCGCATCCGCTCCCTGCCCCCGGCCCCGCACTCCGCCGGGGCTGGGGGACACAAAGGCTCCCGCGCGCAGGGGGGCGGCCGGCCCTCAGCTGCCCGGAGCCCCCCGGAGCCTTCCTCCTCCTCTTCCTCCTCCCGTTGCGGACACCGTCAGCCCCGGCTCGGCTGGGCTGGGTGGGCGCGGGGGGGGGCCCACGGCCGCCGGCAGAACGGCACGGCACGGCTCACACACGGGGAGGGGGCGGCCCGGCAGCGGCAGGCGGCGCGGCGCTGCTGCCCTGCCCGGCGGCGGCCGCACGGAGCCGGGCGGGCGGCGAGCCGAGGGGCGGGGGAGCGCCGAGGGCCCGGATCTGGGTTGCGTGGACGCGGGCTCCACCTAGCAGCCGGCGCCGCGCCGCGCCGACCCCGGCCCCTTCCTTTTTCCTTTCCCCTTTTTCCGGTGCCCACCTGCACCCCTCACGATCGCGGCTCCCCGACCCCCGCCGAGAGGATCCCCCAGCTCCCCATTGGCCCGCTGCTCCCAGCCCAGCGGCCAATGGCAGGCAGCCCACCGAACCAGGAATCCCCTGCTGGATTCTCCAGCTTCCCATAGGATGCTCTGCCCATTGTAGCCAGCAAAGCGACCCATCATAACCATGCAATCCAGCACAGAACCTGCTGGATTTCTCACCTCCCCATTGAAGGATCAGGAGCAGAGCATTTCTAGCTGGATTCCCCATCTCTAGATTGGCTGCTCTGCTGGTGATCTCCAGCTCAGCAGCCAATCGCAGACAGTTTGCTGGGCTCAGAGTCCCCTCCCACAACTCACTGAAGATCAAGTTCTTCAACAAGCTCCTAAGAATCTCCAATGGCAGATCCTACAGTCTTGCAGGATCCTCTTGACTGGGATGATGAAGGCATCAATCTCATTTGTAAACATAGACCATGGATCAGAAGAATGCTTTCACACATCCCTACCTGCATCTCTAGGTTAGGTTGATGGTTGGACTTGATCTTGAAGATCTTTTCCAACTTAAATTACTCTTTAGGCATGGAAATGTGTATTTTATGTTAAGAACTGCTATTTTGGAGGCACTGATGTGTTGAATAAAATCACAGAATCATTTGACTTAGAAAGGATTCTTAAAGGTCATCTGATGTAACTCCACTCCAATGAATAACAACACCTACAGCAACACCAGGGTGCTCAGAGCCCCGCCCAACCCAGCCTTGAATATCACCAAGGACAGGGCATCCACTACCTCTCTGGGCAACCACATAGTAAAAAAACTTCTTCCTTATATCCAATCTAAATCTCCCCTTTTAGTCTGAAACCATTTCGCCTTGTCCTAAGAAAATGGACTCTGTCTATCCCCTTTCTTCTTACAGCCAAATAGTCTGTCCCCTTTCTTCTTACAGCCCTCTTGTAGACGCTGGAAGGCCACTATCAGGTCTCCCTAGGGCTGTCTTTTCTCCATGCTGAACAGCCCAGCCCCTCAGCCTGTCCCCACAGTGGAGGTGTTTTATCCCTCAGGTCCTCCTTTGGATGTGCTCCAACAGGTCTATGTTTCTCCTGTACTGAAGGCTCCACATGTAGATGCAGCTCTCCAGGTGAGTCCTCACCAGTGCAGAGTGGACGGGCAGGATCACCTCCCTCTCTGCACTGACCACACTTCTTTGGATGCAACCCAGGATACAGTTGGCTTTCTGAACTGCAAGGGCACACTACTGGCTCATGTCTAGCTTGCCATCCAGCAGTCCCCCAGGTCTTTCTTACTAGGACTGTTCTCCTCCTTTCATCCCCCAGCTTGTACTGCTCGCAAAGGTTGCCACAACCCAGATGCAAGACCTTCCCCTTGGATTTGTTAATCTTCATGAGATTTTCCTGGGCCCACTTCTCAAGCTTGTCCAGGTCTCTCTGGATGGCATCTTGTCCCCCAGGCATATCAATTGCACCACACAGGATATACTGTGATATACTGAGGATATACTCACTGTTGATGTCTTTGATGAAGATGTTGAAGTATTGTAAGTCCCAGGACTGACCTTTGAGGGACACCATTCGTCACTGGTCTCCATCCACATATTCAGCCACTGACCACCTCTCTCTGGGTACGATCTCACAACCAGTTCCTTGTCCATCAAACAGTTCACCCACCAAATCCACATCTTTCCAATTTGGAGAGAACATCAACAATCTGTTTTGCCAGTGATAACATTGAGACTCATCTCGCTGACACTGGGGAAAAAAAAAAAAAAAAAAAAAAAAAAAAAAAAAAAAACCGGGGGGGAAAAAGGGGGAAAAAAAAAAAAAAAAAAAAAAAAAAAAACCCACACACACAGAAAACATACATACAAAAAAAGAAAACAAAGCATCTATACGTTATAACAGATCTATCCCAAGAGTTTCTGCTTCCAGCAGACCTCTGTGAAGTCACGCTACAGAACACCTGGCCTCTCCCACCAGGCTGCAGAATTATCCCCAAAAGTCCAAGCAAACAGCACGCAGCCTTCTGCAAATGTTTACCTTATGTAAAACTGGGTTTTAAACCAATTAAAAAGCCATTGTGTTTTGGCCTTGCATTTGGCTTACCAAAATTGCTCTCTCCTTGAGTGAGAGCCTTAGGGCATCCATCTCTCCATCCTCAGCAAACTCCTCCTCCAACAGCCCTTCTTCCAGGGACCACATGAGAATAAAGAAAAAGTAAAAAAGAAAAAGAATCTCAAAGTCCTTTTTCCTGCCTCTACCAGGATACTCTGAGATGTGAGACTCTCTGAAATGTGATTATCTCTCCAACGACATTCACCACATCTGCTCTGGGAGTGAAACAAAGCCATACAAGCTGCAATGAGATCTGCTACATATCTTTAAGCTCTGCTTTAATGCAGAGGTGAGAATGAAATCAATGTTTAGTATGCAAGTGGAAAAAGATGAAGAACCACTAGCCTTACAGTGGGATTTTATTTTTCTCTCTTGTAGAACCACAGAAATGTTTGGGCTGGAAAGGACCTCAAAGCCCACCCATCCCAACCCCCTGCTGTGATCTGGTTGCCTCTCACCAGCTCAGGCTCTGCAGGGTCCCATCCTGCTGGTCTTGAGTGCCTCCAGGGTTGGGGCATCCACACTTGCTCTGGGCAGCAGTGCCAAGTCTCACTCCCCTCTGAGTAAAAAGTTACCTATAGATAAACAAATAAATAAATAAATAAAATAAAAAATAGACTAAAATAAAATAAAAATAAAAATAAAAAAAGAGAAAAGAAAAAAACTGTGGGGAAAAATATTTTGGGGAAAGACAATGCTACTGTTCTCATTAAAATCATGACTTGGGCTTAATCTTGCACTCAAGCCAGAAAATTCCAGAGACAGAGAAGTTCTTTTGGGTTGTGCAGTTGTAGTCTCCAGTGGCAGCTGTGAGCTGATTCCCTGAAGGACATTTTCCCAGCACTTCGTCCAGTGAAAACTGAAAGGTGTTCAGGGATGAGGTTTCTTCCCATTCCCCTAAGTGATTTCTCTCCACTCTCACATATCTCATCATTTGGAAGATTTTCCTGCTGTTCAGCCTACATTTTCCGTTTCTTAATTTCATCCCATTACTTGTGGTTACGGCCCCAATTAATCAAAGTACTTCAATGCGTGCTTAAATTTAGGTATGTGCTTAAGCTCCATTGAAATTACACGTCAGTGTTTTGCAGCCCTGATGGATATGCACATGTGTTTAAGTACTGTGCTGAATTGGGACCATGCATCATCCCAAATGCTTACCCTTCTCTCACAAGTTTTTAAACAATTATCCCTTCTTTGCTTGACTATTGATTAGATAAGCTATCTATTTAAGCTACCCAATTTCTCTTTGTGTATCACTCGCTCCAAGCAGTTGATACCTTTTCTTCTTTGAGTAAGAATTCCCTCAATTTATGCTTTCTAAGGACAAGCAGTAAGGTATCAGAGTTCAGTGCCGACCCTCGGGTGTGATGACATGAAGTTACTCTGCTACTGAAGGACACAACATACTTGCACTGGCAACCCCAACCTGCACTGATTTATTTCACTGTCCTATCAATTCATAAGATTCTCTTAACATACTCCATTCCTTTTCCTTATCCATCAGCGTGGCTTATTGGGCATTTTGTTTGCATGGAAAGATGGACTTTCAGTCTTCAAAATCAGGAAACCTGTGACAGATCCAAATCACAGCCTTTGAGGTTTCCAGAATTCCTTCTCTCACAAAACAGAAATCCCCATCCCAAGCTATGCTTTCCAGATGCATTATTTGAATGAGCTCCTCCAATATTTTGGATCCTTAATCTGTTTTCTTCTTCCAGAAGGTTTGTAAAGTACTTGTGCAATATTCTTGGCAAATACAATAAATGATCCTTTTACCCTTCCCCATGAAAGATCATGAATAAGGACACAGAATAGAGCATTTGTCACTGTAGTGCATCACAGAAACAACGCTGGTGTGAGAACGCTGATAGTGAATAAAAACCCATAGCCAGACAGCATAAATATCCAAGGCAATTTGAATTAAATGCAAGAGCCAGCTCTTATTTCATAAGACAGGCTTTGCTCCTATCCTGGGGTAGCTGGGGTGGCAGGTTCTCCCAGCCACAAAGTTCACTGTCATGCAGAAGCAGCAAAGACCATGCGGGGTGCCCCAGCCCAGCAGCT